GAAATTGGCACCAATCAATTAAGGCTAGGTATGTTATTGGCATTCAGGTTGTGACCTATTTTTTTGGTATTTTGTTGTGCAGTAACTTTTAACAGTGTATTAATTAATAACGAAAACTAAAATTCCATTTCGGTCATCTCTGAGTCCAGGTACAATAAATACCTTAGATGGCACCAATTTTTATCCTACAACTAAATAAGATAAACGTTGCGTGTGCGAGTGACTTTTTATAAGAATGTTGCTAGAGTTCGTCGCCAAATACGAACGCTCTGCTAACTACTTCAGCTAGTCGTCTTCTTAGTCGAAGTCACCCCGCTTCTTAAGTATGAGTACAGTTTCAAAGCCTAGCACGTTAATTAGAAACAATTGACTCACGGCGAAAGAAAACATCGTGAGGAAACCTGGACATTTAATTTTTTATTTTAGTTTCAAACGCCAATCCGCCTTGAGCAAGCGTAGTGATTAATGCTTAATTAAACCTTTAAATATGAGAATAAATTAAATGATGTTGATGTAATAATATAGAACTACACCAAGTTACATACGAGTATAAGTAATATGAAGTAAGAAAGATAAACAATTAAAATATCTTGACTTGGCTCACGAGGTTGTTGACATGAGGAATGTAGACTTGGCTATCATTGTGCCGATAGTTGTGTCGGCAAATGGGTTAGTCCCAGAAGCCTCGCCAAACACCTTAGGAAGCTGACGTTAGGCGGATGGTTTAAGGCACTCATACAAAAGGAAGACCTCCTTAAAACGGCACGTATTGTGAGGAGGATTCTGTCTCTAGGACTGTAACCACCGGTAGCTTGGCCCTTGCTACCGATGCCGGCTGGCTCCTATTTATTATTGACTCCATATTAATGATTTGAGCAATAAATAATAACAACTTACAATTTTGATCGCTATCTTCAATGAGTATTCTGAGTTTCTGCACGCAGAGTTGCACGGAGGCAGCGTGGCCAGGCATCCCACTACTGATGCTGATCAGTACCGCGATCACCGTGTTAATGCACTCGTACAGCAACGACATCGCTGACGTACTGCACATACACACACAAGATCAAATATCTACTGCATTTAGGCCTGTTTCACTACACCTGTATCTATCACCAGAAGTCGCGAAACAGGCATTATAAAATTTAATTGTTTACATATTAAGCTAGAGTTAATCTTAACAAAATAAATGTATTATTATTTAGTTTATTGTTCTTGCAGTCTTGCTTTTACTATTGAATCTAGAGGCGCCGTGTTAATATGTACATTGCTTTATGAACAAATGTCAATGTGAACTGTATCACAATCTCAAGCCTAGAACTAGTGTTTCGAAGCTCTACCGTGTAACGCAGACTCAGGTGCTACAGTGTAAATAAGCTAAATTAAACAAAATGTTAAAAAAGCAATGCAAGCACGTTCATATAAAACACCTTCACTAACTTTCTAGACTTATCTACCTGAAAACCAAGTTGTTATAGTAGCCGCTAATATAAACCTTAATAACTATTGTTTATTACGCAACACAATACATTTTCCTTTCACCCCATAGAGACTACATGTACATTGCTATGATGAGGGCTCTGTCTGTAAGACAATAAATTTGGACAGGTTGGTGGTTCCTGCTTCACTGGACAGTAACTGACTCACCTATGTATTAAGTTAGTTAATGGTTCTATCAGTTTCTTGCCAAGTCGAGGCTCTAATGGGGTTAAGGCACCAAACTGCAACAAACACAATGAAACTACATAAGACTAGCTTATGTGATAGCAATTGATAGCTACATGATTTCATGTCTGACTAGATCTTCTATGTGTTCTCTTGTTCTCTCCTTTCCCAAGTCATGGTACTCTTTGGTAAAATGTTGGTATTTTGGGAATTATAACAGCAGCGAAAATAATACAAAAATGTGAGCCTGATGTGCCAATTCAGAAGTGTCATTCGTGTAGGTTTATATTTTCTTTTATCTTTCAGCTGGAACCTAAGAAATTTACTACAACTCTACAAAACACTTTACTGAAGATTTAGCAATGAGTATTATTTCTTAAGTTCCAGCTGTGGTATAGTCAGAATGTGGTATAAACTAAGTTGTATAAATTTCAATGGTGAGGTGTGGTGAATGAATCTAGCAGTTTGGGTAAACTCTGTTTTTGTAAAGTTTCACTAGTGGTACCTGCAAATTAGGTCAATGAGGCTTTGGGTTATTTTTCTTCCAATGTCTGGTTCATACTGTGTCATTAAACCAAACTGTGAAGAAGTCATAGGTTATTACAGATCTTTCATGTGCAGACATACATATAGCAAAGTTTACTTATTTGTTAACGTTTGAACCAATCAATATCTCCTCTGTGTGAGAAGATTCAGTCTTGAAGTACATGGTGCTTTTTTCACTAAACAACATTGTTAATGTCAGAAACAAAATAATAATGTTGTATTTTAGTCTGTTTAATTTAAAAAGAGTCAATGCATCATGTAGTGTTCTGAAAAGAAGGCATGAGCACAATAACACAATACAATATGATAAATATATTAGTACATACCAATTTGATAATCTTAATCAACATCCAATTGTTGGTGGATGTTGTCATCAGTTTGAAAAATACTGGTGCTAATGACAGATAGTTTTTAGGATTCTTTCTTGCTAATTCACATACAACATTCACTGCAGCTGACTGTACACCTGTTGAAAACAAAATAGTTTTGCAAATATAAAACAAATGTGTATACATGTGTTATAGCCAACTTTGTTAATAATAATGTACCTGGATCAGGATCTTCTAATTTCTCCTTTAATTTTGGGAATGCAGGTCTTAGTGCCTCTGGATACCTTAAAAATACCTTGTACATCATAAGCACAGCTTTCATTCTAAGATAGGGCTTTGTGGAACTCATCTGTTAACAATAATTTAATTTATAAACAAAGATAACCAAGTCATTTGATATCATACTTTATGGTGATGTATCTTTATCTTAAAAAAATAATTTCAGTTTGACATATAAATGCATGCCATGTATCCAACATATATTATGGATTGGCCTTAAATGTAGATCAACTGGAGTACTCACTGGCCAAAGTCAACTGCACTTAAGTGGAACATTATGTCAAATATTAGCTTTATAATGTACTTACCAATGTCATGATATCATTAGCCAGGTCTCTAGCTAAGTCATGGGATATAAAACAGCTGAGGCCACTCAGTGCCAAGCCAGCCTCATACTGATTCTGTGCATTGAGATCCTTCCTTATCATATTTGTAGTAAGCATTAGTAATTCTGAGTCCGCATGAAAGGACTGACTAGCTGCTAAGTAACCAATACGCTTGTAAGTAAACTTATTGGAACTCATCACTTCTATTATGTTGAATATTGCCCAAGATATATCATATCCCAGCATTTGGAGCTGAAATACAGATAAAGTGGTATCATATTTGTATAATAGTTAAAAACAGTTTTATGCACTAATTGTATTTTTTTTATTAGTTATTTGAGTGTGATTGGTGTTTGAATTATCACACTATACAGTATAAGTACTCAATCCAAAAGCAATTAGTATAATAACAATATTATATGTATATAAACATCAGTGACAGATTAAGTATTGCAAAACTGCTGAAATCAAATATCACTCTTATTTGAATTCAATAAAAAGATAAGTTACCATGTGGGTTTGTTATCAGGACACAATTTAATGCTTACAAAGTTTATCTTATTTAACATACCTACACATAGTGGTGAGATAAATAAGAATACACACAGCAGATAGGTTCAACCATGTACTTACATAAGTGAGCTTAGCCACTGCATTTGCTTTCACTGCTATGTTGTCCTGGCGCAGCTCTACTTTTATTTCTTCCATACATTGTGCAATATACTTAGACTAAAAATAAAGTGTTGAAATAAAACATTAAATGTAAAAAATATTTAAAGTTTATAGTTAATTAATGTAAAAAAATATATATATTCTAGATAAATGTTTATACTATAAAAAGCAGTTATGTATTGCATTTGAATAAGTAATAAATATTAGTTCATCATAAGTTTTATTTTGTGTTGGAATCACATTCAATGTGTGGTGCAGCATGTTTCCTTTCATTACAAACAACAATTGCTAAATTATATGTAAACATTGGATCTGTGTCAACAACACAATATGCTGCTACAGTAGATTGTATGATTCATGCCTTAATTCAATATAGAACCAATATTGCTACCAATGTTCCATATTTAATTATGAATATAAAATGAGATTACAAGGTCTAACAGCATACGAACTTCGAAATTTATCTTTTATGTTAATTATTTTTATTGCTTCCTAAATATTCAATTCATTATTTGAATTCAGTCCAAGATATATGACAGTGGAGGGGTATGTAAAAGAAAGTGTCAGAGGCAAAGAATAAAAAAGTCCTAGCTCTCCGAGCGAGATTGAACGTGTTAGTGATAATATTGAATATCTGAATGAAAATTAAGCAATAATACACATATTAATACCTCATTATCTTTGTTATTTCTGATTCCTCGTACTAAGTCTGTCAGATTTTTATCAAACATTCTCTCGAAGTTCCCTTTGACTTTTTTCAAAGCCATGTTGATGGAGTAGTAACTTTGACCATTAATTAAGATTCTGATATCAATTAAATTAAGTAAAATTAAAGAAACATGTCAACAAAATTACAAAATTGAAAAACTCGTAAGCAACTACGTCTACGTCAAGAAAATGACAACCATAGTCAACATATTCCGAAAATATTGATGTGGTGTGCTTTGATTTTAATATGGCCTTTAGTCGATTTTTATTTATTCCAAAAATCGAATATTTTATTCAGTACAGTCTTTACTTTAACTAGGCATAAAGTTTATTTTTCTTAAACTAGTAAGTCTTTTGATGCATTGATTTATTTTGCTTTGAAGGAGAAAATAAAATTGTGTAGAATAGGAAGATTATCTCAGCTAGCCGCAGAAAATGTATTCACAGACTAATAGACTATGGTCAAACTGTTAAAAAAAAACAAAACAAATGTCAATCAATGTCATTGTCAAAGTATATTGAAGACGAATCTGTTTGTTTAGATTTTCTAAATTAAAAATTAAGTTGTTTCTGCTTGGAATAAAATAAAACAATGATTATATTTTTGAGCGAGTTGCAAAAGGAACATCTTGGTTTACTGAACCAGCATTCTGTGCAAGGTTAATGTTGAATGGTTATACCTACTTATTCATTGAGATTGAGAAAAATGTAAGGTCTTAAAGTTTTTAAATTGTTTGTTGCAGTTTTAATTGATTTCTGCAAGCTAGCATTGGACTTTTTGAATAATGGGGCCAATCAAAAGAAATATAGTATCGCTGCAGGTAAGAATAAGCAATTTGTTTAATGTTATTAAATTATACAACATTTTATTTTACCCTGTCTGTATGAAACTGTACCTATAAGCTTTTTATGCTGAGAAAATATATGTTCTTATGATATACTTATAGTTCGTTCCATAATTAGAGACAACGATTTGACATTTCGAGTGTTGCAAGTTTTTTCCATTTCATAAATAGTGAAGTCCCGCGACCGGTATTGACCGAAAGACCGAAATTAAATCCTGGACTTCGTGCATTTTAAAAGCTTTATTATTTTAAGCTACTTTCCCTGGTACCTTCCTGTGCTCATACTAACTCATTGGGGTAAAATCACAACGGTAAAGAGGCCAAAGTAAAATAGTGACCCCCCTTTTAGCAGCCATCAGTCCACGACGTATCATTCATAATTTACTCTTCTCTTTCCGGGAAATCTCCAACAGCTCGGCTTGCAGCATAGGTTCCTCAAATATAATGTTTTTCTTTTAGCCAGTCTTGGATTTCGCATTTTTATTTTAAATTATTATAATTAATTCGACTAAACTATAAAAAACATCACCGCAACGTTGTTTTATTTTGCTCAGGGTATTTTATAATAATAAATAATAATAATAAATACACTTTATTGTACACCAAAAGAGTTGACATGCATAGTACAAAATGAGTGAATCCAAAGTACTGGGTACAAAGGCGGCCTTATCGCTAAAAGCGATCTCTACCAGGCAACCTTTAGGTGGACGGAGTATTGTAGTAGTGGGTGGCAGTCTAGGTGTAACAATAGAATTAAAAACATTAACAAGCTATATACAATATTCATGCATACATACATACATACACACATACTTACACATACATACATACATATATACATACATACATATATACATACATACATACATACATACATCAAAGATATACCTAACTATAATTATATATTATAAAATTATATTTTATAAAAAAACGGTATCGGTATTTTATTTAAAACATCATACTCGGGCCCGTCACTATGTTAAAAAATCTGGCCACATTATTTTGTAGTTTGACATTTGCTGTTGTCAAATAGTTGTCTCTAATTATGGAACGAACTATAGTGTCTAGTTCAAATACTTCATACATATTTGTGACAGTGAAATATGGTTATTAAAATGTAGTATTTATATTTTTGCTTTTATTTCAGAAAAACTGGATGTGTCAATAACTGCAGTACAGAATCTAGTTCATGCATTAGTATATCTTATAGTTGAAGCTTGCAGATTGAATGTGAGTTAAAACGATATTATTTTATTGTCTCTCTTTCAGTTTTACTAAATAATTGTACATATTCATTAATTCAGTAAAAACTCCATAAAATGCCTTCACATTTTGAAACAAGCCCTAATAATAAAGTTAAGTCTTTTTTTATTAGCTGACAGATGCAGACCTAAAATCATCTTTGGCAATAGCAGGCTTTTCAACAGAGCAACAAGAGGTATTAGTTAAGTTGTATAACACTAAAAAGGCAGAACTGTCTGATGCCTTGAACCTTCTGCAACAAAAGGATCCCACTTACCAGGATCTGAATTGGCGATTTGAAATTCAGGTGAATAGAAGCAGATTTATTAATTCACTTTTAAGTATAAAGTAACTAGTATTGAAAAAACAGACTACTTCTTTAATTAACTTATTTATTTATTTTAATAGACACATAAAACAGGATACAATCAATAACATTACAGAATATCTATAAAATAAGTAAAACAGATCAAGACCGCATCCCTACACATGTGTACACTGCATGATTATTAGGCAATTATATTATGCAGGAAGTGTTATAATATAACATATTTAATAAATTAATTAAATTAATTGATATTTTAATTAGATTGATCGATTAATTGAATACTGTAATATTGAGTTATTAATTAATTAAATATAATTAATTATAAAAACTTTTATAAATTTAATTTAATATAAACACATGCAGATTACAAGAATTTCAATTTTGACATAATTCGTCGCGTCCACGTCGGCGTCGTGCAGCTAACAGCTGGCGGGAGTTGGTCGTTAATTTCAATACTTATGTTTCACAATACTTACTATTCAAAAATATAGTAATAGTAGATACCAATTTTCTAATTGAAATTTAAATTTTGCAGGTAGCCTCACGAAATTGTGAACAAGAAATAAAACCAATAATAGCTATGGATTTTATGACAATGAAGCCCAAAAATTTTGGCCAATATGGTGACCACAAAGAGAAAATAGAGTATGATAAAGAAGACAACAAGAGTTTGAATTACAAGCATATTAACTCAAGTATACAAGATGCAAAGGCAGCCAGTCACTGTCAGAATACAGTGGACCATATTCTGCTGCAGTGTGACCTACCCAACTTACTGCATTTAACCAACAAATTAGAGCAAGCTTTGAAGGAATCTAAAAGCCAACATGTACGAAAAGTACAAAGATCCATTTAGGCTTTGGTATTATTTTAATTGCCATTTTGGAAATTTATGAAGAGTTATTACATTTTTACTTGAATTTCAAGTGTTTTACTGTTTGATGGTTAGGCATAATAAAGAAATACAAATTTATACCTGATAAAGTATTATTACATTGGTACTCATGCATGAGAAGCGGGCTCCTTAACCTCCAGGCCACCACAACCTGCTTCTGCTTCTCTCTGATCACTTTCTATGATTATTTAGTCACCACTGACACATAGTGAAGGTAAACATCGTGAGGATGGAAGGAAGGAGGAATTATAAGTCCAGGTTGGACTTATAATTTCTAATTATAAGTTTGAAATTGCCAACCTGCATTGAGCAACTGTGGTGATTTAATGCTCTAACCTTCTCCGTATGAGAAGAGGCCTTTGCTCAGCAGTGGGCACCTATAGGCTGATGATGATGAAAGTATTATTATTTGTTTTTGTTCTGCTCAAAACATTTTTTATGTAAAATATTTACAGTCTTACATGGTACACTGACCAGAGCAATGACAATGTGGTTATATCCTCTTTGGATCAGAGCGTACGGTGCCTCACCCTGGTCGAGAGAAGAAATTTGATGTCCCCCCACACCCAAAAAAAAAAAACATGGTACACTGAAGCTAACATTTTTAATGTTTTATTTTTAACCACTAGATGGCGCTACTAGTTTCTTGTATGTTGCAAAATCACTGCGCCAGACGCTTGAGTGAGTATCCTGTTCTCATCCAATACCCTTTAATGTGTCTGCCTCTGCTTATTTTAAACACACCACACACAGGCACACAAATAATTTTAAAACAATGTAGTCTTAACTTTTCAGATCCATTTGCAATAGGATAGGCACGTACCAATCAGCGCTTTGTCAGTGCTACAATGAACGCTTTTGTTCAAAACATTTTTTTTTTTTTAGTACATAAGTATAGGTACCTGTCTATGATTTTTATTATAACTTTCGTGAGACATTCTAAATTATTTATTATGTTTTCGGCTTACTCACGTAATAATTTGACGAGATACTCGACTAGTTTCAAGCCATACTAGAGGCCCATATTCATGAGCAGCATTCCGCGACACACGACTCGGCGACTGTGTAGCAGCGCGACAGTCGCCGAGTCGTCGTAGTATCTCGTCAAATTATTACGTGAGTAAGCCGAAAACATAATAAATAACCTGTCTGTGATGTCTAGACATGTATAGGTACATTAGACACATGTCTAGAAATCATACAGTTGAAACTTATGCCATAAGCCCAGTCCTGCCGGGGTTGCAGGTTAAGCGCAATAAGTCACCGTGACCTCGGCCCAGAGCGGGAGAAGGCACGCAGGGTTTTTGGTCAGTAAGAGTCTGACACTCTCTCTTGCCTTACCTGAGGCTAAATATCTGGGGCACGCTGTTATAGCAGTTGTAAGGCCCCTCTTTGAGAAGTGGCTTGAAAGACGCCACGGTGTCCTCACCTTTCGCATGACGCAGGTGCTTACCGGGCACGGCAGCTTCGGTAGGTTTCTTTTTTGGATCCAGTGGGAGGCAACGTCCGGGTGTCGTTATTGTAAGGACCACCTAGAGGATACGGTGGCGGTGTGCCCTGCCTGGGCTGTTCAACGCCGTGTCCTCAGGGAAGCAATCGGTGGCGATGACCTCTCGCGCCCGGCCTTAGTCGAGGCCATGGTTCGTAGTGAGAGGAACTGGGAAGCAGTCTCCTTTTTCTTCGCAGCAGTGATGCTCCCAAAGGAGGGGGCGGAGCGCGTGAGGGAACTATCCTCCTCACGCCCCAGCCGCCGCAGGAAGCGACATTCCGGTCGTCAGGGATCAAGAGGCGGTTTCCGGCCACCTTAACCTGCCGCCCGACCTGAACCAGACCCGAGAGTACGTCGCGTAGCGTTCTGCGCGCGCCTCAAAGAGGCAAGAGACCATTACAGACAGGGCCCTATAGGGCTGATGTTCAGCCAGGGTTGCGGGGTAAGCGCAATGACGCACCGCAACCTTGGCTTAGAGCAGGAGAAGGAACGTTCAGAAGAAGGAACGGGGGTTTTAGTCAGTAAGAGTCGGACACTCCCTCCCGCCCCCTAATGTCAACGGCTGTTCACCGGAGCCCACGATGACTGTTGCCGTAATTCCTCAAGGGTCTTCGCTTTCAGCAACTCTGTTTTTGTTACATAACAACGATCTGCTAATCCTGTAACTATAGGTATGCAAACGAACATTATGTTAACATTATGGTAACATTATGTTATTTTTACATTGTCTGGACTTGAAAAGAGACTGACCTCTGAGTTTGTTTCGGCATTTGTTCTCAGAGTAGTCAGATAGGAAATGCCGGCTTCATCTAGCATTTCACATATAAATTGACGTGTAAAAGTGCCGTTTTATGGCCTATTTGCAAAAATAAATTCATTGTTTCATTGATAGTTCAGTTGTAGAGAGACATCCCGAGTGCTCGGGCCAGTAAGGAATCAATCCAGTGCTAGAGAGAGGCTATGCTTGAGCGTACAAATATCTCACTTCAGGCAGTCTCCAAGAGGAGCCGCCAAAAGGAGCCCGCTCACCTTGGTTCCTGCTTTCCAGGGTGTATCTTTGGAGTACACCGACCGCTTCCAGTTCTTGGGAATTGAAATCTTCTTAATCTACTTGTAGGTGGTTCGTTGAGTCCAAAGCCAAGGTAGTAGTTAAGAAACTGGGCAATCTTGCAAAGGATTGGCGGTATTTCACACCGGAACAGCTTATAATGTTAAACAAAGTATAAGTCCGGTCGTGTGTGGATTACTGCACCCATATATGGGCTAGTGCTGCAAAATGATACTTGGCAGTTTTGGACTCGACAAAATCTGAATCCGGATTTGGTTAAAACCAATCTTCATAGCCTGGAGCACGGACCTAGTGTGGCTAGAATCTCGGTTTTCAATAGCATAGGTACATTTTGGAAAGTGTGCGTGGGAAACAATATCTATCGGCTAACACGTCCGTTTGTGCGTGTTCCGTGATGTGCTGTAGGCACAACCACATACAGGGTTGATTTCCCGTACGGCGGATATCCATCCTTACATTATTTGAGACCTCTACCATGCAGTCTAAGCGTTTCGTTTCGTCGTCTATACCACGCACATCTTAGGAATGAATGGAATAGCTTGTCTGCAACGAACTTTCTGCCCAGTTATGAATTATGATTTAGGTGTCATCAATGCTTGAGTGAATAAGTATATAGGCTCTTAATAAACTAGTAGGTACGCCTTACCATCAACGATTGCATCACTGCTTCGTCATCAGGGGGGATTGCAGTTAAGCTCTAGTTATATGACTAAAAAAAATAAAGAGTAGGGACCACACATACTTATAAAAGCAGTCTCTGTCTGTCCCTAGTTCAAGATTATTTTAAACGCATAATGACTAATTATGCATCATGCGCATTAGCACAGTGCTCGAGCAAGTGTAAACAAAATATAAAAAAGGTACCTACCTAATACAAAAACATAAGTATTTCCACATGTGGATAGGATCTAATTCGCTTTTAAATATTCTGTTATTTATGTAAAAAATTTAAGTGCAAAATTTTCGTAAAATATGACATTCGTTGCCATGGGTATAAGGTACAAATTACAAACCTTCGTTGTATAGATCGGTTTAATCAATGACTTGATTGAAGACGCCAGGCGTGACGGCGGCGCTCTACCAGAATAATGAGCGTAGTTTTTACGAAGCGAGCGAGCGAGCAAGAAAAAGTATATCTATTTATTACTACACTTTAGAATTAAAAACATGCAAACACAGTACTTAATAAATAGGTATATTTATTATAATTTTTAAAGTTAAGTAAGTACCTATGTGCTTAGAAATATTATTTGAAGTATTTTCCCTAAAAATCACTATAAAAAGCCTAACATGATGATATGACTCATGACGTTACAGCCAGATATGCGAGTTTGGGAAAAATGGCTATAAAAGAAGTCACGCCGCGGTTATGCCAACGAAATTTACCAGATTGAATAAATACACAGGAAAAAGTATTTTAAAACACTGTGTATCATTATCTTGTCGTGATATACCTACCTGTAAATGAATACCTATTTTTTTGTGAGGGGAATATTATCAAATGCTTTCTGCCGCCCAGGATAAGGCGAGAGGGAGTGTCAGTGTCTCTTACTGTCTAAAACACCTCCGTTCCTTCTCCTGCTTTAGGCCGAGGCCGCGAATCAATCAAAATTTGTGACAACAGCAACCCGTTTTTGCTTTCATTTTCTAAGTTCTGCTGAAACTATTCCGGGTCCTCTAAAAATACACCAAGTTTGTTTGGTACTTAATTTAATACTAAAAACGTAATAAATTATTTAGACAAAATAATTTGTAATTGCGGAATTAGCTATCATGGGCGTCTGCGTGACATTACACTTGTTTTAGAATCTAGTGCGTGACCAATTTTGAGCAATTTATGAATGGATCTGTTTGTTTTGACTTTCAATCATATACCTAATCGAACTGAGTGCTATTTAGTATCATCTTCTTGGGTGTTCCCTGTTGCTACAGAATTCCGATTGTTTTAATCGTTCGGAGCGCTTATTTAGGGGACTTATTTATAGATCGTAGAGCTAGGTACATACAGTAGAGCACACAAAACGCCGTGATATACATGTAGCGCAGCTGTGTTGAGAGTAGAGGCGGGCTTTCCGTCCCTATTGTATAATCGTCAGAGTCAGACTCACTCAGTACGCCGGCAACGCTCGAGCAATATGCTCGTCGCCTAGAGTTTGCGGTTATTCAAAACACCAATCTACTTAACTGTGATACTTAATAAATGGAATTTATATTTTCCTAGTTACGTTTAAATTCATAGTTTTATACGGTGCGTTTTCTTTGCGGCTTGCTCAACTTTTATCCATTAGATACAGTTAATAACTCAGTGGTCAGTGAATCGGTCGAACAGTACTTAAATTTATGAATAGTACCTATATTATGCAATCTGTTTTGAAAACGAATGTTTAGTGTATTGGAAATTTCATAGGGAAACGCTGTTGCCTCATATTGTTATTAAGCTGCTGTATGTGACAGTAACACTTGCAAGTTTTATCAATAGACAGCACAGATTTGTTTGTTTTGAGGGCACGATCCGCTGCAACTCTAATAAATATTTGAAATTCCTCTGTGTACTTAAATGAGTGAATCATGGATTCGAAGGTGGTATTGAAAGAAAAGAATCCCCATGACAAAGCGAACATCATTTCGAAAATATTTCTCACGTAAGTACATATTACCACGTGTTAAACATTATTATTTATTTGTCTTTATTGATGCTGCTAGACCGGATGGTCTAGCCGAGTCCAGTGCAAACGAGTTGAAGAGAAGAAATAAATAGTATCGCTTATTCAAAACTTTTAAAAAAAGCACACCGGAGCGGTTTTGGTAGTGCAGTAGGTAGGTCGTAGAGTAAGGTAGGTGTATTTTCTTCTACACACATATTATATTTTGATGACTTATTCGTTCATCAATATTCAACACTAGTCTCACATAGTCACCGTGACCTTCTTGCTTTCATACCAATACTTTTACGTGTTGTAGCTGTTGCTCTTAACGCTCAATTTATGACCATATTGCGAAGCAAGACAATTTAACTTTTAAATTAAAACATTGTGCACAGAAGCATGAGTTTGCGCTTCATAACAATTCCTTTTATAAATGACTAACATAAGTCACAAAATCGTGTTAAAATGTTATCAATGTGACCGTGAACTTTGCAGTGCTTACTGAGGAGGTATCTAATTATAGACCATTAATTTAAAACGAATACTTACAAAAAACTGGAGTAGGTAAATTTAAATTTTTATGTACATTTTAAAGGTAATATTAATGTAATTATTATTATTAAAAAAAATAACGTCATCATCACGCTTCGCAATTCATGAAGGAGACTGAACAGGCACACAAAAAATACCTAACACAATATTTTGATGTTACTAGTTTGGGGTGAGCCAACAGCCATATGGCACTAGGCATAATTTTATTACAGGTAGGAACTTAATTGATCGAAACTTTACCCGACACTGCTTGTTCCTCGGCAATCGCTAATTAGGTAATTAGGTTTAATTAGGTAGGTACGACCACTTGCGGTCAGTTAAAGTTCATAGAGAAACTATGATTTAAACATAAACATGATCTTGAGTCTGAGAAAGACTCTTTTAGGGTTAAGAAGTAGGTACCTACATAAAAAAACATAAGATAAAGTAGAATTAGGTCGCAACAGTTATTAAAAAAAAACCATGATAATTTAATTAATGAGTGTAAAAGCATTTTGTAAACTCCAATAATTCCAATTTTATACAATACCAACTAGCTACTCCCGCGCGGTTTCTCTCGCTGCTCGTCTCCCTTTGATTTTACAGTGCTGTTTTATAGCCTATATATAGTACCTACTCGGAAACATTGTAGCTATCAATAAGTGAAAGAATTTTGGAAATCCGTCCAGCGGTTCCAAGGATTACCCCCCTACATACAAACTTACAAATTTTAACTCTTTATAAATACTATAGTATAGTATAGAATAACTTATTCTATCCATGAAATTGGACAAACTTATTCTTGGTGCGTTAGTTGAAGGTTATGGTCACAGAAAATTTGTAATTCACATAAACCAAAGAAATAAAAAAGAATAGGTAAAAAAAAAGAGGCCTAGTCCTACTTAAAAAATAGATCCTAAGTAGATAGACATTTGCCATCTGCCAGAACACTTCGACCTCGACGAAGACCTCGAAGAGATAAAGGAAGTCATTACTGAATATTTTTTTGGAAATCATTATTTACCTACTTATGAATTAATATAAACGAAGTTTAGAAACCCGGCATAGTCGGAACAATAATGGGGTCAATGACCTAGTTCCGAATTGGCTTCACACATTAGTATCAAAGTGATAAGTAGAGTTGGACAATTGATTCTTTAGTGACCTTTATGCCATATTTCGCCATGTTTTATTGTTATAAACATTTAACTGACGATAAGAAATGTATGCCATAAAAATCTGTTCATTAAAATGTCAAACTACGAGCCTGAATTGCCGCGCGATAGAATAGTTCATATTATTGTCGTTATTGCAGAAAAACAATGTATATAATGGGTAGTATACTTATTTGTAAATACATAACATATTTTCACGCATATTTAGAACGCCCATAGTGTAGATGAAAATGTAAAATTTCTATCAGAATACAGACAGTCCCATTTTATATTGAGTTAGTTATTATTATTCTACACTAACTGTGGATATGAGAACTGTTGATACTAGGTCTTTAGACCATCTTCAGATTAGAGTCCATAATATAGTTTCAAGTAATTCTGTGTGTACATAACTTCCGCCCGCGGCTTCGACCGCTCGGTATGTTGATAAAAACCTATGTGTTAATCGAGGGTAGGTATCACCTATTTACATACCGAATTTCAACCAAAACAGTCCAGCCGTTTTTGCTTGAAAGATTAACAAACATACATCCATACATTAACACAAACTGTTACATTTATAATATGAGCAGGAAGAAGGATAAAGAGTAAGAAACCGAACGTCACGTTTAGGTATATTTTATTTACCTACATAATAAATTACGTGTATAACCAATGACCCGCAGTACAGTATTGGTCTAAAAAAACGCATTTGTCTTGTCACTTTTTTTCTATTGTAATGCCTCATTTACATTCAGCCGCTATCGCTGCTCTTCGCTTTGCCGGCAATAATTCCCTAAATACTGCTGCGGCAGGATCGAGGGCCATGTGTGTGTTTACATACTGCCCTTGAAAGTGAAGTGAGGGGCACTTTTAATTTCCCGCAATGGCAGACGTTCAAATAGCAGCGTCCGCGCTGAGTCTTTCTGAGCGATTGAGCAGAATGTAAACACATCTTGCTGATCGCCTGAGTGGAAACAGCGACTGCCGCAACCGAGGGCCGGGCACGCTATTATAGCAGTGGTAAGACCCCTCTTTGAGGAGTGGCTTGAGAGACGCCACGGCGTCCTCACCTTCCGCTTGACGCAGGTCCTTACCGGGCACGGTAGCTTCGGTAGGTTCCTGTTCAGATCCAGCGGGAGGAAACGCCCGAGTGTCGTCATTATGGAGGCTAGAAAGAGGATACGGTGGAGCATACGGTGGCGGTATGCCATGCCTGGGCTGAGCACCGCTGTGTCTTCAGGGAAACTAAGTGATCGGTGGCGGCGACCTCTCGCGCCCGGCCTTAGTAGAGGCCATGGTGAGGAGCGAATGACTGCGACGTCGTTTCCTTCTGTGAAGCAGTTATGCACGCAAAGAGGGAGCAATCCTCCTCCTCACGCCCCAGCCGCCGCAACAGGCGACACTACGGGCGTCGAGGATCAAGGGACGATCTCCGGCCACCGTAAGCGCGGGTCTGCGGTCGGCGAGTAATGGCAACTCGCCGCCCGACCAGAAACGAGAGCGTAAGGCGCGTAGCGTTCCGCGCGCGCCTCAAAGAGCCATAGGCCACCACAGACGGGGCCCTAAAGAGCTGATGTTCAGCCGAGGTTGCGGGGTAAGCGCAATGAGGCACCGCGACCTTGGCCCAGAGCAGGAGAAGCAACAGGGGGGTTTTTAGTCAGTAAGAGTCTGACAACACCTCCCACCTGACCCTGGGCGGGAGAAGTCATTTGATAATTTTCCCATCACAAAAAAAAACTTGCTGATCGCGCTGTCGGTCCCTTGAAGTCACTACTAAATCCCGCTCTTTTGGAGACCGATGGGCAGCGCGAGTGACATTAGAACTGGCATAAGAAATATAAGTTTACATACTGGCTTCCCTGATCACTATAACATAAATAAAACAATTGGTCCATTTTAAAGATCAATTCAATATGTTATCAAGTTTCATAACTATTTTCCAAGTTCAACATGGCTATAGTTAGAGTTATTATTTAGATAAGTGATAATCAATATAGTGTTTTCTGAACAAGTTCAGAGAATGTTATCAATCGATTTCTGTGATGCGACTGATAATATAGGTAGACGTAAATATTGAATTTATATATACAGGGTGTAGAATAGTTTTAGCGTAAAATATCACTATGTAAGTGTCCTTTTTTTAATAACGAGTAACCGTAAAAACGGAGGAGCTTCACTAGTGCCAGTTGGAGACCTTTTGGAGATTAGGGTTTTGGAGATTTAGGTATTGGGAAGGATTGGACCTCCCGTATCCTCACATGGTGAAACTCAACGTTGTTTTGTTTCACGTTGGTTTTCTGAGAGGCCGTTTTATTGTGTGGTTTTTATGGACATAACATGCAACTAACACATTTCAAAGAGTTATATTAATTGATAATAAGCAGGTACTTAGCTATTTTTATAAATATTTAATTAAGAATATATAACCTCTTATCAGTGATTTCTTTGAGAGAAAATGAAAGAAAGGTTATTTTTGATATGAAATGCTTTACTAGCTAATCTCGCGCGGTTTCACCCGCAGGTCGGTTCCATTTAATCGAAGCGTGATGTTTAACGCCTATGGCAAGAACATTGTAGCTATCTATCAGTGTAAGAAGTTTGGAATACCGACCAGCGAGTGGTTCCAACGATAACCCCCTATATACAAACTTACAAATTTTGCCTCTTTATAATATAAGTATAGATTGTAATGCCAGTCAATATTTCTTTTTAAACATTGTTTTCTTTTAATTATAAAAACTTCACTTATATTTAAAGAAGTGGTAGGTAGAAATCTTATATTAGTTACATAAATAGATAGCCAAAAAATTGTGCAATATTTCGTAACAATATGAAATTGATTATTATCTATTCGTGATAAGATTTGTCTTATGTCTGTGACATCTATATCTATACTTCTATACTAATATTATAAAGAGGTAAAATTTGTAAGTTTGTATGTAGGGGCCAAACTTTGGAACCACTCTGGTCGGATTTTCAAAATTCTTTCATTGATAGATAGCTACAATATCCCTGAGTGCTATAAAACATCACGCTACGATTAAATAGAGCCTAGCAGCGGGTGAAACCGCGCGAGAGGAGCTAGTCATACAAATGTAGACAGTAAATGTTTTCATGATTACGATTGGCTACTGACATACCTAATATCCTTAGATTTTATCTAATGTTCAACATATAAGTACCTACAGGTGTACCTACATTACCAGTTAGTGACCCGCCCAGACTTCTTTCTCCAATTTCTTCACCTTGTAATGGATGTTATTAACTTAATATACACATAAACCTTTATCCTCTTTTAACACTATCTAT